TGGGGCAGGATTCCCAATCTCCGCCTCGCCATCTCCCTGGAATTTTCCACTGCAGCTGCCTCGGCTCCCAGACACCCCTCCCTGGGCAAAATTCCCGGCTCCCTCCGCCTCCCCTTCCCTAATCACACCTCATTCCCACCCCCAGCCGTGAGGCCCAGCCCACGGTCCAGCCCACTCCCCAGGGTCCGTCCCACACCTCACGGTAACCCCGGTGGCCCCATTTCGAGAAACGGGAAACCAGGCCCTATGTGACAGGGTGACCTAGAGGGTCCCAAGCTCTTTCCTGAGCGGGAGAGAAAGGACAGTTGAGGGGCTCGTCCCCAGTAGGGCTGGAGTGGGGGGAGTGGCCCTCCGCACATCCCCTTATAAGGCAGGGCGAGCAGTTAGGATCCAGGATTGGCTGATTCAAATGAGCATTCCACCTGGCAACAGGGTTTCTATTGGTTTTCAGGAAAAATAGGAGGAAGGTGGATGGAGGTTGTTGGTGGCGGTGATTGGAGGGGGGGGATGGGAGTGGAGGTGACCGGAGTTGAGGGCGGTTACCAGGGCAACAGGGTAAGAGCCCAGCAGGGTGTCCGAGACAGCAGGCGGGGCTGGGAGGTGGAGTAAGAAGGCAAAGGAAAAAAAAAAAAAAAAAAAAGAAGGCGGGAGGGAGAGGAAAGAGACAAACAGGGAGGGAGCGAGACTGGGGGGGGGAGTTGGGGCGCGGGGGGACAGATGAAGCCCGAGAGGACACAGAGATGGAATATGGTGAGAGGTCGCTAAAGACATCAGTCACTCGAGTCTGAGAAGCGCATTGAAAAGGGGAAATGGAAAGATCTCAGAGAAAAGGTGGGCCGAATCCTGCCAGGAAAAAACCAGGGTGGGGCTCCCCGATTTATGAGACCAAGACGGAGAAACTGAATAAAGAGTCAGAGCAACCAGGAGGTGTGTACAAGGGACCAAAAGATGGTGTGTGTGTGTGTGTTGACTCACTCACATGCTAAGTGACGGTGGAGATCAACAATGGCTATTTTTTTCCCCTAATTTTTATGAGGGTGACAAGATGTCTCACTGTGTTGCCCAGGATGCTTTCAAACTAACGGCAATCCTCCTGCCTCAGCCTCCCAAGTGCTGGAATAGGTCATCTGACTCAAAATGTCTTTATTAAGAAAATGCAAATGCTTGGGAAAAGGCGAAGAGTAATGATAAAGACAAATACGAACATGTACACACAACCACACACCAAAGACAATCTTTTCCCAGAGCCCAGCCCTCTATTATCACCGTATTTCTGACCTCAAATCCACATCCCAGCCCCTGACCCCTTCTGAAATCCCAGGTTCTCAAAATGGTCCACAGATGCTGAGCCTGAGGTGTGAGGAGCTGAAGACGTGTGCAATAGGGTGTGGCTGGAACTCCAGGTGTTTGCAAAGAAGGCCATGAGAACACAGAAAGGCCGGGGAAGACGGCAGCAGGGAGAACAGCAAAAGGGCAGAGAGTGGGAAATGAGCTAAGTGTGTAGGGCCAGGTGACTGAGTCAGGTAAGACAACGGTGTTGCCTGGGGAAAACAGAGAGACGCACGCAAGCACGCAGCAGAAGGAATGAGATTTAATGGTTCGAAGGGAGAGAGGTCTTGGACTGTAAGAAAGAAGGGAGTTGAAGAGAAACAGGAGGACCTGGCAAATAAAAGTGAAGTGAGCCATGAGTCAAGTAAGAATAAAGAGGCACACGAGGAGACCAGAGGCCTCTGACACCCCTCAGATCAAGGAAACGGACGGGAAGGAACCCGCCAAGGCCCACAAATGCCAGGTCCAGCCGATGAAAGGCCCAGGCTGTCCTTTGCACTCTCCCTGTCCTCCTCAAGGCCACCTGGAGAAAGCGGACAAGAGCGAGAAAGGGAAGTGGCTCCTTGGCCTTCTTCCTCTTCTTCCAGCTTTTGGTTTCTCAAATACCTGCCCCACCCCTCCACCCAACGCCCCCCACCCCTCTCCTCCCTTTAGCAAAATCTCAGGGCTTTGAGGTCAGCAGGAGTCTGGCCACCTCTCCAGCACGCCCCCAGGAGCCAGACTCCAGCTCGCAGGCAGTAGGCTGGCATTTGGAGCGGTGTCTCCCCGCTGGAACCCCACCCCTTCCCACCTCCTCGCCCCACTCGGCTCTCTCCCGAGCCGTCAGTCTCTCCATTCCCCCTCCTGGTCCCGTCCTTCCTCCCGCCCCTCTCGCTCTCCCGCCCTTCGCTTTCATCCTCCTATCCCCACCTCTCCAACCTCCTCTTTCATCCCCCTCCCCTCTCCTCTCCTCCCCGCTCCCGCCTGCCCCACCCCTGGG